CCCCGGGGAAAAAAGTTGGTGTCACCTACATAATTAATTACTTTATTTTAATTCCACTTTTTCTTTTTTCTTTTTTACGGGCAGGATAAAATGTTCCATGTGAGATGAAAAATATTCTAAAAGAAAATACATTTACTAAAAATAAATTATTTTTTCAGATAATATCAACAATTTAATTATCTTTCATTGACTTCAATGTGATAATTAAACCTTAAAAGGAATTTACAGTATATATATAAAGATCAAATAAGTAGTGCCTTATGCTTTGCCTTTGGAGCCTCTAGCTGTGCAGAAGTCAATCAGTTCTCACTTCTCAGAAGCTAACACACCTCCCCACGCCGTTCTTTCCAATCCAGTCCAGTGTATTCCAAAATCCCCTGCTCGCTATTGTTCGTGCCTTGATATGTGTGTGCGTGTTTATATATATATATATATATATAAAGGTTTATTAGATCAACTTAGGGTGGGATCCACACGTTTGGACTTATTTTATTGGATGAAATCCGAGCTACGCATACACAGACTCCCAATGATTGGCCGTAGAAACAAAACTTTCAACATGATAACTCAATTATTTTCTTATAAAAACAAAGATAATGAATAATAATGGTAGCGGAATATATTCCGTAAGAGTCGTGGAGGGGCAGTCGAATTTCGTCTGTGAAGACAGGAGAGGGATTGAACAGCACTATCATTCTTGCACTTAATTAAACTTTTTAAGACTCTCATTTGAATTAAATTATTGATCACCTTACCTCATTTGCTTTTATCTCCAGCAATGCCAACACACCTTGTCTCGTGTAAGTTTTAAATTCCTATGCATCCGTACATTCATATGCGATTCTTTTGTAATATATAATCAATGCACCGTAATAAAATAAAATTTACTGTCACTATTTTCCTGATAGTGTTTTTATTCCCCCCATTTTTTTAAAAAATTGTGGATTCATCAATGTAAAATGTACAGATCGTCTGTGACCAAAATATATCAATGCCACTGGTAGCATGTTCGTTATATTATGTGAAAATATTGCTGAATCTTCTACATGCATCCTAAAAAAATACAATCTTTTATCATAAAAATATTATTTATTTATTTTTCTGGGCCAGCATCTATTACCTCAAGGTAGTTCCACCAAAATAAGAATATAAATGAAATGTCTCGTATAAAATTTTATTTTTTCATGCACATATAATACGTGCAGGCAACTAGGCATCTAAATTTTTTATACTATGCATCACTACAAAAAAAAAAATATTTTTGATGGCAATAAAAGATCACCGTCAAAAAGTTCAAAAGTTACTGTTAAAAGTTTTTTTAGTTGTGACTTTTTATTATTAAAAGGTCATTACTATAACAATTATTGTTAATAGTTTTTGGTGGTGACAAATATTGTTACTACCAAATGTATACTTTTAATGGCGACAAATGTTATTATCAAAGGTTGTTTATTGCTAATATTATTTTTCGTGACAACAAATGTTGTTGCTAAAAAGACTTTTAGTGGCCTTTTTAAAAGAAATAATAATTTATTTTATGTCACATTACTCTGTCACGTGTACATCACGTGATGCCACGTCACATCTTATATATGCAACAAATGATATCATGTCACTTCTCATCTTATGTCACATCACAAGCCACGTGTTTGATAGATGATGTCACTTCACCTTGCCACCATCTTATGCCATGTTACTTACCATGTGTGTGCCTCTTCAAGCCATCTTATACGCCACGTCACTACCATGCACTACGTCAGATATTTGTTACAAAATATGACAAAGTTAAAGTTTGAACTCTTGACCTCTTCTATCTCCAAACTTTAAGCCTCCCTTCTTTATTAATTAAATTAAAATGTACCTGCAGTTATCATACATGAAATTAAACATATGTTATGTAATTACATACACATATATTAAATAATATATTATTAAAAGATATACATGTATTGTATTTTATTTTCAATTATTAATATGAAAAAATGATTTATATGAATATTTAAATTATATTTTTAATAAAATACTATTTTTTGTCATTAAATATTATTCTTTTTAGAAAAATGAACTTTAAATAGCCAATTTTTAAATATTAAATAATATCTTTATATACATTGTAACCAATTTTTAAATTTTATTTTTATTTTTAAAAAAAATTATTAAGTATATAATTTATTTATAAATATGTATTATATTATTTTATGTTAAATCTCTTTTACTTTTTTCTTCTCCATATTTTTCTCAAAAATTGATAAACAAAATGATTAAATTTTTATCTTCTCTCAAAATAGCTAAATGTTTCCCCTCTTTTATTAAAAATATATTTTATCAATAATTTTTGAATATCTTAAAAAATTATTTTCATAACAAATTAATTTTAACCACATAAATTTTATTAATAATTATTTTGAAGAATTTTGAAAATGAATACTAATATCTTTTACAATATATGATAATTACAAGAATTTCACATGTGATCAGTCTAGTTAACATTTAATCATCCTCAACCTCATAGCAAGGTGAATTTAAATAGTATTTATATTATTTTTAGTAATAATTAGTTATAAAAATATTATTAGTAACTTCTTTTTAATAACAATGAAAATCTAAATATACTAAGATGAGTTACAAAATCTTTGTCCAAAAGTTATTAGAGCTCACTAGAAGATGTGGACACTATGTGTATATTAAGCTGAGCATCAATTGTATAATATGCCAAGTAGTCTATAATATCATTTGCATCTTGCAACATTTATACAATTTTAATATCCCAATGCCATTTATGTAAATAATAATTTATGTACAACTTAACCTAATTATAATTAAAAGTAATAATCCATCAAGATTTTAATTTATCATATTAAAATACTAGTTTAATAACATAATTCTTAAAAAAATATGAGATATATATGTCTGAAAAAAGATTATAAATAATATAAAATTAGAAATAATTTAAAAATTAAACTTAGTACAACTTGACTATTATTTTTTTATTTCATGATCCTATATATTATTTATTTATAATTCTATACATAAATTAAGAAATTTAGTTTCATAAATATATTTTTAATAATTTTATTTAATTTCAAATTTTTAAAAAAATTCATAAAAGTTATAATTTTACAAATGTCTCCATCAAAAGTAAATTATATAAATTATTTTTAATTATTTTTTATAAAAATACTTTTGATAATGACAAATATTGCTACCAAAAATAAATTATATTAATTATTTTTAATTTTTAAATTATTTTTTATAAAAATATTTTTAGTGACCACCACCAAAAGTAAATCATATAAATCATTTTTTATAAAAATAGTTTTGATAGCAACAAATGTTGCCTCTAAAAGTTAACTTTTGGAGGCGATTTTGATTTGTCACTTCAAAAGTTCACTTTTGATTGCAACATGTAATTGTTGCTGTTAAAATATAATTTTGATGGCAATTTTTTGTTTCATTTTTAGTGATGATTTTTTTAGTCAGTTCAAAAAGTCATATTTTTTATAATGCATTTACAAAAACATGCATGTATGATTTATTATTATTTTGGTTGATTTATTTTTAAGAGGTAGCCTCTAATTACAAAATTAAAATATTCATAATATTCTTGCAGTACCGACAATTTTAGTTCTGTTATCATCAGTAACTTGATAATAAATAACTAAATTGTGTTTATAATTTAAAATCTAATTCAACCATATGCAGCAGAAAATTATATTGAAATTCATTAGTTTTTACAACGAATACGAATCAGTAATATGATTATTTTTTATGCAAATAATAACACGATTATTCAGAAAAAAATATTAATGAGTGCAGCTTCTCATTGGTAGTTTTGCAGCAAAAATATTGGACAACACAAGGAAGGCGTCAATTAATTTGGAATCTGGTGGAATCAGTGTGCTTAACGTCTGGTAATAATTTATCCAGAACAAAATATTCCACAAGTTTGGCAGCATGTATAACTCTTTCAAAAAAAGGCATGTGCAAGTTCATTGATTCTTTGATGTAAGTTTACCTCCAAAGAAAAGCGTTCTAGATTAAGTCTCGCGACATCAAAAGGGAAACATATTAAGCTTTTCTTTTGAAATGGGAAAAAAATATTTGCAGTGGACGACAGACACTTGCAGAATTTGTTTTAAGATGGTGAGAGTACGTAACTGGAAATGGAGAAAGCAACATTATTCTTCCAAAGCAAAAATCAGACATTTTGAAGGAAAGTTCTTGGAAATTATTATATCGTTATAAAGTCTTCTTGCAGCCTCTTCCTCCCCTTGACTTGTGGGTGTGAATTGTGAAAGCCCCTATATTCGCTTCAACAGCCACTCCTAAAGTTAACTCTCTAATTATTTTCTACCCGTATATTCCTGTATTTTTTCATCACTAATTAATCCTCCTCATCTCATTTATGTCAATACTTTTCAAATCACACACACACAGACACACACATCGATCGATTCACTGATTTCCCTTTATTTTTCAATCATATTATCTAGGAGGCAAATTTAGCAAACATATATGTATAACTCCGCGTAAAAATTAATTTTTTTAATTACCAGGGAGAAAGATGATAATAATAAAAAGGAATTATATGAGTTTTTTTTTGGAATTTATATTCGATTAGTATACTATAAATAATCAATTTTTGATTGCAAAGAATTGGATTCCGAAGAATGCTAAATTTTTTCTTCCCCCTTTACCTAACCAATAAGCCTCGAACAGGGAACGAAACTATCCAAAAATGTTAGGTTAGAGGTAGGGCTGTTATTAATTATTTGAAGGGGAGAGAAAATTAATGGGTCATAGGAAAGTCCTAATAATAATTTACCATTTTGTGTATTTTTCAGGCTGATTTTTTCAAAAGGTAGACATAGAATGGCCGATGCGACATACGTCATACGAATAAAATACACGTATCCGAACAAAATACTCCATTGTAGGCTTCCCGAGAAAGTTCCTTGCCCTCGACGGTTCTTTCCGCTTATGTGCTGTGCCCCTCTACTCTTTGCTCCTCAACTATTTAAGCCCCTCAGTTCCGATCCATTTTCCTCTCTTCACAATCACCACTTCCGTTTATCAGCTCTCTTTAATTTCTTCTTTCACTCTCTCTTCCTTTCTCTGCTATTGCTTCCCAGTAAATTAATAAACCAGCTTATATCTGGGTCTTGATCCATGGATGACAAAGGAGCTGAGGAGGCTCTGGATTTGCCTCCGGGTTTCAGATTCCATCCCACGGACGAGGAGATCATCACTTTTTATCTCACGGAGAAGGTTCTGAATAGAAACTTCAGTGCAACTGCCATCGGTGAAGCCGATTTCAACAAGTGCGAGCCTTGGGACCTCCCCAGTAAGTTTCTCCAAATTCCCCATTTATATCTCATGATTGATCGATCATCTTTCCTGTCTGCAATTCGATGATGATTCACGGAGGACTGGAATTAATACGTTTGTTATGAAATGGCTGCGCAGAGAGAGCGAGGATGGGGGAGAAAGAGTGGTACTTCTTCTGTCAAAGAGACAGGAAATATCCAACGGGGACGAGAACGAATAGAGCGACGGAGACTGGGTACTGGAAGGCCACCGGAAAAGATAAGGAGATTTACAGAGGGGAACGCAACCTCGTGGGGATGAAGAAGACCCTCGTCTTCTACAGAGGGAGAGCTCCTAAGGGGGAGAAAACTGGCTGGGTTATGCATGAATTCCGATTGGAAGGCAAATTCGCTACTTTCAACCTCCCCAAGGCCGCAAAGGTATCTCATCAAAACACGACCCGTACATACATGGATCGAATTTAGTTTCGTCCTGAAATTAACCATCAACAATATCACCATATCTTTACCTTTTTAGAAAAGTGCCTTTCCCCCTTGGTTTGAAAGTTTCTTTCATATTCTCCTTTAATCATCATCAAAGCTTTTCCTTTATTGATGGGCTTAATTGGCATAAGGAGAATCTTACAGTTTGGGTGATGATGATAATGTCGGCGCAGGATGAATGGGTGGTGTGCAAGATTTTCCACAAGAACGCGGACGTCAAAAAGACCCCTATTGTTCCTGAGCTTCTAAGGATGAGCTCTCTTGGCGATCATCTGCTGGATTTCTCTCCGTCTCTTCCGCCTCTCATGGATCCTTGCTTCAGTAACGCCGACCAGCCCGGCTACAGTGGGGGCGATGAATTCAAGGTGGCCAGCCAGCAGCCATCATCGGACGGCTATTATCTCCCCAACTTCGCCGGCAACAACCATCACAATCAGACGTTGATGAAGGTAGAAGAAGACTGCAGAAACAATGAGATGATCCCCACTCACTGCACCGCCAGTCCACACGAGCAACCTCAGATAGGAATAATCCCAAACACCGGTTTGTACCTTCAGCAGAATGTTTTGTCAGATTATAGGAACAGAGATGCCGGAGGCGTGAAGAACGAAAACGTGTCGTGGAGAATGGATAAACAGTGCAATATGGAACATTCGATGGTGAGTGTGTCGCAGGACACAGGCGTAAGCAATGACAGAAACGCCGAAACTTCCCCGGCGGTTTCCGTTGCGGGAAGGAATAAGGCAGTTTACGAGGATGATTTCATCCAGGCTCCATCACTGATCGATCCCCTTTCAGATCTGGACTGCCTCTGGGATGACTACTGAACAAGACCAGACATACATTAGATCAAGGGAGAGATGGCCAGCTTGCAATTATTAATTTGTGGTTTAATTTTTCTAGCAGAAATAGACGTCCAGACCTTGCATTAATTTTTTAATTTCTGGTTTTTCATGTTGCGAATTGATCATATTAGATCAAAGAAAAGTTCTTGGATACACATATACTGTATAGATTTTATGTATATGATATCCAAGCCTTGTCTCTCACTGTAGGTTTTCATTCATAGAACAAATGCCACGGGATTTGATGAATACTCATGTACACATCTATCATTGTTTTGTTATGCTAATTAATTGGTTGGCTTATTGTTTAATTTAGTTCATCTTTTAAATTCCTAGTTCCTAGTTGCTATTCGACAGTTCAACCTGTAATTTGTGTGTACGTGACTTCAGATTTTACTTGTATTTCTTAGTATTAATTAATATAGGGGTATCATTCGTCTCTCTCTCCCTCTCTCTCTGTCTATATATAAATTATTCTTGTTGAGATTCCAAGCAAATCAAACATTGGCATTCATTTAAGACCCTTGGGTTCAGCCCGCAATATTTTATGCTGTCGAATATATCTATGTGACACCCCACCATCCTAGAGGGGAGCAGCATTAATTCCCAAGAAAATCGTACATCATTTCTTTTAAAAATTTCACCTTTCGAATTTGAAGGTTCTGGCTGCCTAGTGCTTCCCACCAAGACATGACTGCTGTGTTTTCCTCTTTCAAAATGTTGACGCCCATTTTCTTGTCATATTTCTGTTAGTACAGGTACTTACATAGTAAGTAATTATTGAAGACTAATATTGCCAATTAATTCTGTTATTTTAATTGTATTTACACTATAGTACAATGCATATTACTACATACCTTATGGGATTATAAAGTAATTAAATTGGAAATATAGTTAAATATAACAAGTGATTTGTATTATTAATACAGACGATAGTGAACATGTATGCCTGGAATTTGAAGCAGGCATGGATCAAGTCGATGACACGTGAAGAATTCCCTGAAAGTATGCAGTGGATGCCTCCGGGAAGGGGTTAAAATTGAATAGAATACACAAACACCCACACACTAGCTTAGGGTGGGAATCAGGCTCATAATTATAAACTGTGACAGCAACAAATTAAAACTACTGAATCTTGTGTCCAAAGTAACCTTGTATGGTCCTCGCATGTGCCTATGCCTCCCACTGAAATTCCCACAAGTCGAGTCCGATCCGTGCTTTCTTTCCGAACCGGCTTTTGACATTTGTAATTCTGTACAATAATATTATGCATTTACATGCATAGCACACATGTCTTGTAGATTTGCATATCGCCACCTCGCTCAAGCAACCTATATCTATTCGCTGTTGCTGGCTAGGCTAGCCAGAGGGTTTATTAGAATTAACATTTCATCTCTCTCTACGCATATATACGTCTGCATATGCGTATTATATATTGTAATGCCAATGTAAAGACAAGATAGGTATACTAAAAGGCATGAGATCGATCGTGTATACGTAGCGGAAGAGAGCAGAACGGGAATGGGCGCGTGAGTGTGAGCAGAAAGAAATTGAAGAGTCACGCTTGTAAGCTGAGGGCAAAAGTAGTGCACGTGCCAGCCACATGTGCAACAAGGTACGGCACAGGTGGCTGGGAGAGCAAGCTTATTTTCCAAGAAGGGATCGCGGTGAGAGTTTTGACCTCTCAAACGGAAATCACCGCATGTAGTACGTGTTTATTTTCCAATTCTAAGCAAAGCTTTCTCTGGGGTTTTATGCTTGCGGGGAACTTAAACCGCCTTAATTTGGTTGTCGTCTTTTATATTCCACTCTTGGAGAGATGGAAAAGGGGTGAGAAAGTGATCTATGAGAAGCAAAGAAAAAAGGCCAACACTGTTCATTGATATATGTGAAGGGTGAGAGCGAGAGAGAGAGAGAGAGAGGCACATGCTTGTTTCTGAATCAGAAAACCCTGATTTGTTGCATGAAAACAAGGTGGGTCTGGGGGCTCACCGACCAATGAGGATTCTCCAGCAATTCATCGTCTATCACTGTCTCGTTGAAAATTATGTGGATTTTGAGGAACACTCACATCCCCGATATATATTGATATATTGATGGCCAATCAACCTCTGCTTATGTCATCTTCTACGGTTGATCCAGTGCCGGGGATTATTTATTAATAAAAAGGGACTTTTATTTATCTTTATCTTTGTCCATTTGCGAAGAGCGAGACTTGACCCTGATGAAATTTAGTTGAGAATAATATCCTGCAATAGATAGAAGAGAATAACGTGGTGATCTTACCTAATAATATGTTACAATTTCCAATTTATTAACTATTTTCCCACGCGAGAAGTTAATACAGGAACTTGTTTTAGGAGCATTCAATCGATCAATCCATAGTTTTTTGTTGGTCAACAAAATCATAATACTTCTTTCATCTTTATATATAACATATTTTTTATAAACTTATTATGTCCCTAAAATATAAGGGAGATCATAATATTTTTAAATAATTAAACAATTTTACTCTTATCTAAAAAATGAAAGAAATATTAATTGTCTACTTTATTTACCACCACCATAATATTAATTGTCACATTATTAGAGGCAATCTAGAAAATCATTGTGATTTTATGAAATTTTAATTAAATAAAAAACTTTTTTGGCAAAAATAAAAAATAAAATAATAAATTTTTATTAATATATATGGGTGAAGGGAATATAAGACAATTTGGAAAAATATTATACATAACAATAAAGTCCAATAATGAGACTTTACAAGGTTAATTTTTCAAAATAAAACTATAAATTTTTAAAAATATCCTTTATTTAATATAATTTTAAATTTACACACTTGATCGTTATTATTTTACAATCATTTCAACTCTCTCTCCACTTGAAAGGTAATATTAAAAAAATATTATTGATAATATTTTATTTTATCAAATTATTTTATATTTTAGAATAGCAAAATATCTCCGAAATTGTTTTATGATTACAGACAGGTGGGTATGAAAAATTGGAACCCTTTGCAAGTATATCATGTCATCGCACTCCAATAATTATGCTTACCTACGTGGAGACTTGAAGAAGCCAACAAAGTCCTCGAGTTCAACGGTTTGCAATTATCAGCCCATTGATTCCTACGCTTCTGTTTTTAGATATTCATGGCAACATATATATGAGTGAAATAAGGGTCTTCTTAAAATTTTAAGGACTATAATTGGAAACGGAATTCATAATAGCAGTAAATTAAACTTGAACTGTGGTTAAATGGTTTTAATTTTTTTCGCCAGTCCTGTAACAGAAGAGAATCTTTCCCTCAAGCATAATCATGTCGCTAAACAGTGCGTTGCACCTATCGAATTAACATAATACGAGATGTTGCCAACAAGACTTAATTACACACAAATGACAAATGATAATGAATGTGAGTAATGATGGCTGCCGGGGGGTGATTGCAACTTTGCTTTTTCATGGTGACTGTTAATCTCGGGCTCAATTATAAAGTCTGGTTCTATCGTCTCCGAGAATTGCATGTCAATCATAATGGATGAGACCATATACTGGATCAAAGATTCATAACTTATATAATTGCCTCAAATTATTGGGATTCTACATTTTGCCACTTCAATATTCACACCGGAACGCATAATTAATTTCATAGAGTGTAAACGCATGAATAATGTAGTATAATCATTAATTACAGATGATTAAGGTGCGTGCGTGTGTCCGAGTTGCCCAGCCATGGGTTGTATTATTGACTTGTCATTGATCTCAGACCTAACCCCGTAGCAGTTGATTGACCATGTGTCAAGCACAGGATTTAATTGGATGGATCGAGTTTGTACATATCACCAATTATGAAAGAGAAATTATAATTCAGCGTCATCTCAATATTGATTCCTGAATTCAACTTGAAGCGAAGTTCAAGGCTGCCTTCTCATATTATCAAGAGAAATCATCGGAGCCTGATATTACATGGTGGCAGATATATATGCATTCATACATAGTCCCGCGAGAATCACATTCCTAGTCAGGCAGCAGCATCAGCAATATTGCCCCACATGAAAATCGTCTAGTTTCCAGCTAACGCAGGACTCGAGAGGAAACTGACGATCTTCAAACTTTGTCTGTCCTTTTTGCTTCTCGTCTTCTCCTTGGAAATTGCGCGTAACTTCCACTCCAAGCCTTCCATCCCTGCCATATTCTCAATCTTCTAACAGATAAAGTAAATTCCATTTATAAAATATTGTGTTAAAACATCAAATAATAAGAATATGTATTTTATATTCTATACCGTGAAAAGGGGGAAGCTGATAAAGCAGAATCTTCATGTCAATCTAGAATAAAAAAAAGTACTCAAACCACCATATATAGCATTTTTCAAAACTTTATTTGATTTAAAATATAGAATATTAAATATTTTTTATATTTATTTTTTAACTATATCCCTACTTTATTTATTATTCTTTTCTAAAAAAATTATATATTAAAATTTTAATTATTATTATCAAAACTTTTATATAAAGTATTTAATGAGCATATAAATAAAAAGATATGAACACTTTTAAGAATTAAAAGATTTCAATTAACATTATTTATATATTATAAATTAATTAATTATGACTTATATTGTCATACGTGAAATAAAGTAGAATCCCGCATTGTTTTCCCTGTGTTATGCGGATTCAATTGATGCGCGCGACCAAGAGAATTGGACACAGTGCAGTAGATGAAATTATTTTGTGCGTCTTTGCCACTGCAAGGTTGGTGCTCGAGGGCTATATATATATATATATATATATTAGTTTTTCTGGTAATTCGATTGTTTAGTTAATAATAATTTTCAATTACTGCAGAGACAAGAATGGAACAGAAACTATTCTCGGTTCTTCATATGTTTGATCATTGAACATCAATCAATCGGTCTTAATTCTAATCATTTGAAAACACCCGGTAATATAATTCCCCAGTATTTTTTAGGAAATGTTAGTGTTTCTTTCTGTCAAAATAGTTACGGTAACCAGTACCTCGTCATTTTAGAATAGAGTAATTGCATTATCTAAAGTAAATTACTTATTGGCTAACTAATGCTATTCCAATTAATGTGGACAGAAATGAAATGGACAATTCTTTCCAAACACAAAAACAAAAAAGTATGCGTGCGTCGTGTTATTCATTGCTTATATTAGGTCGGAGATAGTGTAGTTATTCTACGTTGTTTCAGGGAATGCTTATATTAAATGGTGATCTATTTACAGCATAAGCCAAGCTTCAAAATCACAGGTCAAAAATTGTATTTTTACTAATTACTACCAGGTTGGTGCTTTGCATGACTGTTTATGATCTATAAACGGGTTATTTTCTATATAATTACATGATATTTTCTTGACTACCATGTTTTATATCATGTCGATATAGACGCTCCCCTAAAATGTAGTCCAACATGTGGGCTGTGACTATAATTCTTGTCTACTTTTTTCTTTTTGGTTTTGTTATAAACTTGTTTTCTTATTTATCCCACACGTAGTCCTCAGGATTTTGGGCCAACAACTTTTTTTGGGCAAAGTCACAATCATTTTTTTATAGGAGAAATGAGGGAAAAACATTCTAAGAGTGGCTACTGGGCTTAGGCCCAATAGCCATGAATGAAATCAAAATCCATACGACCAGATCAACGGCCCCACTCGAAGGAAAGCGTCCATAGAGGAGGTGGGAGGAGTAATTATCGGAGGCGCGTCGTTTTGTACCCAAAACCTGGTCAATGCTATCCGGTGGATAAGAGGAGACGCTCCATTTTATCCTTAATTTTATCCGTTTACGCCTATTTTTATCTAGTTATTTATTACTCCCCCCTTTTTTAGGTTTCACAATGCCATCTTCGAGGATTCCACGTGTTCCAAGCTTCAACTTCACGTCACGCGCCTTACCCACCCTGCCACACATCACTATCTCTGTCTGTCTCACGTTCTCTTTTCCGCCATCCGATCTACCTACCATTCCATCGTCGTCCGTTGAGAAACCGCAGTAACTTTTTCGATTTTCTGCGACGCGCACAACAAGCCTTTTTTTTTTTTGGGTTAATTTATTTGTTTCCCTCGTTCGTTCTTCCTGTCTCGCTTCGCGACTTTCCGTCAAACTGAAAGTTAGATTCCGTATCATCATTCCATGGCGAAGGTTTTGAACCAGACTGGTTTGGTTTCAGCTTGGCACGGCGATGTACAACAGCGTCCTCGCAAAATTTCTCTGCGTACAAGGATTCTTAGCTATGATTCTGGTGTTTCTTTGAGTTTCGCTGTGAAGAGGTTTCGGTCTCTGAAACTAAAATCCCAGGTTCTCAGATCTTCATCCTTTTCATCTTCTGAACTCCATGGCAAAAACCTTGTGTTTCACGAGCATGCTCGCATTCCCGGCAGAGGGAAATCCTTTTCTCGATCCTCGTCGGTAGCTCAGGTTGATTATCCCCCTTTCATTTATTTCCTTATGGTGGGTCAAAATATGGATATTCTTTTTCACAGTTGAGCTTAATCTACCTTAGTTTATAGTTTTCTTATAAACATTAAGATTGGGCCTCGGCTTTAACCGATCAAGTCACCATTTCTATCAAAATTATAAATTGTAAATGGGTGCTTCTATTCTTTTATGTTCCAAGCTTGAATTCCTCTGCTAATAGTAAAGGATCTTCCGGTGGTTCCGATCCTTGTTGAGATTTCTTCCGAGGATCCATTATGAGAAAATTTCTGTGATTTCCATCTTAAGTGCCCTGTATTTATAGAGCTTCATATTTATTGGTTTTCTTAATTGAATTTCCTTTTTAATCTTGTTCCTGTCATGGCATTTGTAGATGGCCCTCAGAATTGGTAAAACTCAGAAATGGTGGGAAACAGGGCTTCAACCTAATATGAGGGAGGTGACTTCGGCTCAAGACCTTGTGGACTCCCTATTAAACGCAGAGGACAAGCTGGTGGTTGTTGATTTCTTTTCTCCTGGTTGTGGTGGTTGCAGAGCTCTCCATCCTAAGGTATTTGCCATTGGCTTGTTCTCAGCGCTCTCCTTTATGATGGCTTTCCTGTTTATCGCTTATAATTCTGATTTTTCGTTGGTGTTGGGGCAGATATGTCAGCTGGCAGAGATGAATCCAGATGTTCAATTCCTTCAAGTGAATTATGAGGAGCATAAATCCATGTGTTATAGTCTAAACGTCCACGTCCTTCCCTTCTTCCGCTTCTACAGAGGCGCGCATGGTCGTTTATGCAGCTTTAGCTGTACCAATGCCACGGTTAGTTTGCTCTTTCTTAATAATGTTTTAATCAAGTACATGATTGCACGCTTGATCTCTCTGTATCAAAGCTTGGTTGTTATCCTGGCTTAACTCTTCCATAGTGACTATACGTTGCTGGTATGAAATGATTGTCTATTGTGTTCATTTAGCCTGTTAGGATTGATTTTTAAGGTCCTTTTCTCTATGAATTGTTGATATTTTGTATTCAATATGAAGCTGAATGTTTGAATTTTCTGTCTTGTCTTTAGAATTGTTCTTGTACTTCATTATATTCAGAATAACGATCGATTTGGTTTGTGCGTTTTTCCTCCATCCGCCCTCTAAATAGGAAAATGAAAATAACTGATAAAAATTGATGGTTTGATTACAGATCAAGAAGTTCAAAGATGCATTGGCCAAACACACCCCAGATAGATGCAGCTTGGGCCCAACTAAAGGGTTGGAGGAGAAAGAGCTCCTGGCTCTCTCTGCCAACAAAGATCTGTCATTCACTTACACACCGAAACCAGCGGAAGTTATGCATGAAGCCCCTGCACAGCCAGCTTCTCCTAGTTCGGAACCCCTTCCATTAGCTTCAATGAGACCCAAGTCTTGTAAGGCGGACAAGGAGAGAAGTCTGAGCACCGCTGGGTGCTGAGGCGATGAATTTGTGAACATGCCTCATCTCTTGATTACAAGTCATGTACAGTGTATCTTTGGCCTATAATCTAATAGCAGTAAAGGTGAAGGTGTTTTTTTTTCCCCTTTTTTCTGGCCAAAGGTGAAGATGTTATTTGCTCCCCCTGGCCGCTTCAGGCTGATGGATTTTTTTTTTCTTGGGGATCCAAGCCTGGTTGGTTTTATAATAGGAATAGGAAGTGGCAGTGTGTTGTATAATGTCAAATACTATGTGATGTTTTATCTGTTACAAGATGCATATCCTTCTATTTTCCAATAAACGATCCTACTTTTGTTAAGTTCGACCCTTGAGCCATTTATCTCCTTTCCCGATCAGAAGGCGGGGTGGTGATAAAGTTAATATGCTGGATTCCAATCCGGAGATGGAAATGTTGAAGGTTTTGTTCTGAGGCTTGAATGTATTTGATGGTGATGTGTTTTTGCCGAACAAGGACAGTGCCAAACTGCCAATCCGCTTCGCAACCAGACTTGTGACTCGCGAGTAGCCAAGACAATATAACTACCAAGATAGATGGGAACAGGGCCATGGTGTGTGGACTTTGGACCCACTCGTCTGGGGTGTCAGAGGCATGCAAAGACAAGGGAAGCTTCAAGAAAGTGAACAAGTGTCTGGTGAAGGTGTTAATGGAGGTTGCCACGTGTATAATGGAAATATTAGGGACAAGGACGACTCAAGTATGAGGTCCTTGACGCGGATAAGGTTGCGTGGATCGTGTTTATTTTGACGCTTGACAGGGAAGAAAGTAATGTGAATGACGCTGCTGAGCAAGATTTCAACTTTGCGCGAGCCTTTGTGGTCCAATAGCGATCCAGATCCCCTGGCGAAGTTCTCCAAATCCAATCCATTCAAATGATCAAAATGTTATCAATACGCATGTCACGTTGCTACAAAAAATATATGTGAATAATTTATTTTTAAATAATAAAAAAATATTTTGAAATATCATGGATGGGTAGAAGTAGGTTAGACTTAAATCAAATTTTCAGGAGCCTGTTTACATAAATAAGCTTAATTATAAATTTAAACATGATTTTTTTGTTAAACAGACCGGACAAAATTCAAAGAGAGCAGACTGTATGTCTCTAAAAACAAGACCAAGCCTATTTTAATAAAAAAATTGATTATATTAAAATAAGTAAATAGGTCTCAAGAAACATATAGTATGCCTTGTTTAAGTTTTGACATGATCTGTTTAATAAAGAAAATTGTGCTTAAATTTATAATTAAGCATATTTTTATAAATAGGCTAAACTTGTTTATTCAAAATCTAACTTAAGCCTGATCATTTTCTAACCATACATAATATTTCAAAATATGTATTTTTTATTATTTAAAAATAAATTATTCATATATATTTTTAGTAGGGTGTATTGCTGAAATTTTGATTATTTGAATGGATTAGGTTTGGCCACAGAGGGACAATGAGATTCTGGCTGCCGAGGGGATCCGGTTCCGGTCCATTAGATAGACTCAACGTTCATTCATGTGGCCCAATGCACATCCACTTGAAAACCATTTCTGCTTGATCATCTTGCTTTGCTTTCTCCTTTTTCGCCTCATACTTGAAAAGTTGAAAGCAACCTCCATTCGTTTCTCAACTGTTACGATTACGACTTGCGCGCCCGAGTTTGATTGCTACTTTGATTTGTCATTTATTTTTGTGATTTTAAATTTACACCATGTCCCACCGTTCTTATGAGAAATAATTTAAAAACTGAACCGAATTGAATGATCAGATCATTAAGAAGCAGTTAACAACTCAATTTGTACCAAAAAAATCATTTTTCATGAACAAGTTAGATTAGATCAAAGTTAAGTTACTATTAAGTCAAAAATTAAAGTTAAATAAAGAATTAGAGGAGTTTTCACATATATGAAGTATGATTTGAAATCATCTTTTTATAAAGATGTTGATAATTATATATATAAATACAGATGTTTTTAAGTTCACTCATATATATTTTAATTGAGTTTCATTTATATTTGATAAGTTATAAAATTATTCTCTCTGTTAAAAAATGTAAGGCATTTTTAATCGAATACCACCTCTCAGTAAAATAATTACCTGCTTTCCAACTAACTTTATCTTTTCATATATATTCCTATTAAATATCCTACAATAAATATAAAGTCATTATCAATAAGGTCACTTTTAGAGAAAAGGCAATAATTATACTTCGAAAAATTAAAAATACTTTACATTTTTTATCATCCAACTTTTTAAAAAATATTTTACATTTTTGAATGGAGGGAGTATAATTTATAATCATGTTATGTCATTTTATTAATATACTATATATTTTTCTTATATTTATTTTATATACCCATTTAATATTTTTTATTTAATTATTATGTTATTAATTCAATCATTAATTCAACTCGATTAGATCATGCAAGTAGTGAATCATTGGTCTTTCCAATTTAACATGGGTTTTGAAAAAATTGCTTGTGAGGACGCTTTATTCCACTGTGAAATTCTTGATAAGGTGGACAATTGTTTTGGTGAAGGACCTCGCATGTTTTGAAATATAGTAGTCTCACAATTTATTTTCAAAATAATCTCTCAGATGCATACAAGACTTGCTATGATTCTAATTCTAGTCAAACATAGACAAGGAAAATAAATTATTAATTAAGACATATTGCTTGAAATTGCCGTACATTGCGTTGCTTGAACCCTACAGAGAGAGAGGGAAGGTTAATCTCAACACTATCATTTAAAGCGAGAACTTGAAAGGCCAAGCGACAATAAAATATGAACACCGATGAACGAGGATACAAGAAAGATAACAAAATGTTTCCTCGACTATAAGTTAATAAGTGCAAGGCCTCACTGCGGGCCTTTTTAGTCGTTCATGAGCATCAAAAGGTTAAAATTAATCTGCTTCAAATGTCAACGTTAAGCTTTTTAGTTCTATTCAAGGTCCACAACCTTTCCCTTTGATGCATGGGGTTAAGGATTCCATTCCCATGTTATTGTTGGGGAGCAGAGTATCTCTTTTTCTTTTACTTTTGATCTCTCTCATTTTTTTTAATTTTTTAAATTTAAGTTTTGATAAAATTATTATTACTATTATATACATAATATATAAGTAAAATATCATAGTTTTAAATGATAAGATGAAGTTTTAAAAGTACAAATTTATTTATGTATTTTTATATAAAATTAAAATAAAATTTTTATCAAATAATAAATTTAAATTGTTAAAATTTAGATCTAATGGTGATGAAAAAAAAAACAGAGAGAGAAAAATAGAAAGCAAGGATAAATAAGACACCTCACTCCCACCATCATGTGGCCCAAAAAGGCAGGGGATTAAAATCAGTTAAGTACGTGGGAGGAGAGGTTTGGATTGAATTAAGTGGTGTAGTGTGTGCTACACTAATTATTTAAACTGTAAATTTAAATATTAATTAAATTGAACTTAGACAATGTCCAAGTCAAAATGTACTCCTTCCCTTTTAAGATATTTTGTTGACAAAATTACGCATGCAAATGACACCAATACAGCTTACAATTTTATTTTGTAAACTTTTTAACACACGTGTCATTATTAAGAGATAAAAAGAAGAAAATTTATTGGAGGAGTGAAATATGAAAGGTAATATTAGGATAATCATCAATAAAACTTTATTTTTTTTTTCAAAAACAACAATCACATGGAACCAAACATTCAAGAAAGATCTTGTTTACCAGAAATCTTAAAAAGTTTTAAAAACATCTAAATTATAATTAATCAATTTTTTTTTAATGTGCGGTTAGGCAGGTTTATCTATACAAAATACGTGGCCGTTATTATGACAATTGGAGAAACAGGGCTGTATTAATGCATTCATCCCATTCAATCGATAGGCGCTACCTTAATAGCTGATTTGAATTTAGCAAGTGACATAAATTCATTCACTTTGATGAGTGTCCTAATTATAATTATTAAATTTTATTAATATTTAAAATTATCAAAATATATTTAAAAAAATTTAAACAATTTTTATAATTAGAATATTCTCTATGCATGTTGTCTACAAAGATTTGAATTTTGATAACTTTTAAATGTTATATAAAAAAATTTTTGAACTCCAACAATTATTATTGTATCATATTGAGTCACCGAATTCAAATACTAATGGGTCTACTTTTGCTCGAACTAAAAGTTTGAGTGAGTAACTTTATCGTCCCAAAAAAATAAAAATTTGAGTTGAGATGAATTGAGTTACCCTGGCTTTTAGGTCTGCGCGTTGCCTATCAAGTATGAACTTCATTCCATGACTAATAGAGAAAGTAATCCATCGAATAATAATTACGTGTATCCTGCTTGGCAGGAGGAAAATGGAAAGAAGAGGAGAGTAGGGGAGATTTTAATAAATTTGATTCAGAAAAAGAAAAAATTATAATTAAAAGGTTGTAATTAATTTTTCTTCCCTTTTAATTTACATTTTATATTTATTAAAACTTTATACTTTTAAAAAAATGAACTAATTTGAATCTCCCTTATCTTTCGTATTCTCGTCCAACTAAATATGGGATAATAATTAAAATATTTCTTGGTTACGTTTCACCCAAATATATTTTACATAATTGTGAATTTTTTATTAAAAAATCAAATGAGTTAGATCTCACAGACTTATCAATAAATAAAATAATTTAACCTGCGTGTGACTGCAGAAAACCGAAAAAAAAAAAAAAAGGCTGCTTTCCAAGCAAGTTGATAAAAGCCCATGGTAAATTATTAAAACAATTGGAGAAATATGGAACTCCCTTCCGTTTACCCATCAAGGTCCAAAAAAAAAAAAAAATCGCATACAGGTTTGAATTTGGCTAGTGATTTAAGTCCATTCATTTATTAGATGTCTTAATTATAATTATTAGATTTTCATCAATAGTTAAAAATTATCAAGAAACTTCTTTTTAAGAAAAATTAAAATAATTACCTCACAATCAAAGTAGCCCTCGCATATGTTGTCCATTTCAAAAATTTCATATTTTGATTCTTTCTAAATAATGCATGATAAAAGTTAAACTTGTGGTTTGATTAAATCAAATAATTATTATTGTCTCGTGTCAGATATCATTGAATAAATGGAGTTATGCTGTCAATCCAAATCCTATACCATGTACTATGTAGGTAAATTGACTAAGTCTGCTTTTCTCAATTAATACTCAAGACGGCTTGTCAATGGAAATGGTGCCAAGAAAGTCCCCTGATATACACGAAAGAAGAAGGAAGCTAAAAATCGAAGTCATGAATCACACGAGCTCTAATGTGATGGTCCAGCTCATTAATGCCTTCCAACTTCATCTGACTACCTTATCATGAAAGCCGTATAACCGTAAGCCGTTACAAGTAGCCGATGACGAGAGCGTTTTAAAACCATTAATTTAATCATGAAATTAAACTGAAAACGGACCAAACCAAAACCCCCCAAAAAAAAAAAAAGAAAAAAGAACACCCTGGTTCTGACGAAACAAGCTTATGTCTGCTTCAGCATTGTACAAGCGATTCTCAAATTCACAGATTATATTGTCATTCTGAACCTTCTCGTTACTGCAATCATAGAAACCATAATTAGCTCCAACAACATATAAAAGAACAGTTCGATAACGTAATTATTAGCCCCTTCCTCTTAAGCAATGCAGATTTAGAAGAACCAAGAAAAAGAAAAGTACTTTCCATATCTTACTAGTACAGAAACAACAGTTCGCGGCAAAACAGAAGATTCGCCACGTACAGAAGAAGTCTTGATTATATCCCAAACCAGTCCTTATTATTAATTATCAGGGGGAAAAAGAAAGATATATATATATATATATATATGCAGGATTTTAATTTGCAGAGATCAGATTAGAGGGATGTTGCGTCAATACCACCAAGGAGGCCTGGCATGAGAAGCGGAAAGACGCATGTAGCCAAAGACAACTTGCCGGACTTTATAAACACGAATACTTGCATGGAAGGACTATCCACAGACAAGGTCATCATGAATATCTATATATGTGTGTGTGTGTGTGTGTGTACAGAATCCGGCAAGTCATCCTTGGCTGCACTCCCCTTTCCGACCCTACATGCAAGGCTCTCGGCGGCCTCATCTTGGCCGGAGAAATTAAAAACACCAACCCTGAGGAAACCAGACTATAATAAGGGGTGACTACCCAAGAGAGGTGAATACTAACCTATAGAACTGGACAATTTATAGGCAAACCTGAGGGGAGGAGAGAGAAATCATCATTCATCACACACAATTATATTATTTTCTATGTGAATCAAGAGATTGTTTATCACCGTTCACGTGACAGACGATTCTTATCTGGCCCGGCTGTATATCGGTTTCACTGAACGCACTGGATGTATCCTAATATCCATCCGTGTACCGAGGCACAGTGGGTACGTTTATTCAGAGGCTGCCTATCCGAACTTGGCAACCAAGAAATGCACTGTCATGGAAATTGTTGAGTCTTTTTTCTTTTTATTCTTTGAAACCAGAAAGTGATGATCGTATCATATAGCAGGGATGGGTGTTGGTGCTCACATGTATACTGCGCCTGCGGCCGATAATATGTGGGCGGTTTTAACTTCACGTACTTCGAGGTCTGTTCAGCACTCAATGCAGTAACATATAGATACAGTGTACTGTATGTATATTGTACACACGGTTGTAATTCGGATTCCTTTCTCTGCCACTCTAGGGTTCCACCTAAACAGGAATCTGCTTTTCATACCATCTCACGTCAACTTTTGTTCCCTTCATCTGCTGAACACATACGACATTTTTGCCACTCTCATCTCTGATCAGCTTATGGTAACTTTCATCAGGATGGGGCCCTCTCTAACACACATGCACAGTTCTTAAGCACTGGTTTAATTTGTGACTCTAAAATAGGAAATCTGAGGAGGAGATGGAGATTACTGCATTATGATAATGGGGGATGTCAAAATACCCAAATATAGTACATATCAGTAAGAGCTAATTATCACAAAAAACGTACTGTCCCGCCAGGCTATAGCTATGAGCTATTTTATCAAAATGGGGAAAATCTAGAAACTCTCAATCATCAGCGTGATTGGCAAGGTCAGCAATATTGACATATGCAGTATGGTAATTTATCCTCTGTAGATGGACAATTGAAGGTTAAAGACTCCTTTTCAAGATCTTCACAAGACTGCAATATTTAAACATTCACTCTATCTTCCCATACCTGATGCCTCCCATGAGTAAGTTCCCTTTCATAACATATATTCATAATTGGGATAGAAAAATTGGTATTTTGTGGTTGAGTAATATTCTAAATATGAAGGATTCATTTCCATATAATTTAAATCCTTTTCCTTTAATTGAACTTGAATCGATCATTATTATGTTTCCGGACATCTTTCTAGCTGTGGGCGCATGGTTCAGTTTTTTTTTTTTTTTGGGGGGGTCCCTCTCCCCTCAATAGATGGTACAATTTTTATGAAGAATCATTGTCCATCAATGTTTCCGTACAAATACATTAAACAAGGCATGGTTCTAGATTCCCAAATTTGTCAGCTCGCGTTATATATGTTATCTTGATTCTCCTACCACCATATGTTGCGCACAGAGACGCTCTCGGGAAGACAGACAGACAGACATACGTACATATATCATCTAGGTTTTCTTCTTTGCGGGTTCTTTGAATTCTAGATAGTATGGAGGTTAGCCTTCTTTCATTTATTCTAGTGCTATAAACTTTCTTCAAACAATCCAAAGAAAAGATAATTGAAGAGTAAATAAAGAATTTTTCAGGATGAAAATCATGTCAGTGACTTGCAGACAGACTGAGAAATATTTTTTTAAATACATTGATAACGCTATTGATATCAGATTCTATGTTGTTATTCTTTTCTTCATTACAGGTTTCCCAAGCATTTACAGAACATTTGATACACTATAATAGTTATTCGTTGGTTGTGAACGTGTAGGTCATTTCAAATGCCAGCAAAGAGTGGGAATAATACCCCAAAAAAATAAAAAATTCCGTTGCCACTAATTTCTATGAATAAACGAAGATATCTTAAAATTAACTCAGTGATTTTATAATTCCCGTGGAGAATTTCATAAATCAGCTAGCACTGCCTAGATCTCTCCTGTCTTTCTAGCTTTGCTATCTGATTTATAGGCACCAGCAATGACAGAATCTGCTGCTTTTCTTGTGGCCTGTGTCAAAAACCTGGAGGCTGCTTTCCTTCTTAATCTGTTTTCTTTTTCTTTCTTTAATTTCCTTTTCTCGGTAAGTCGTGTATTCACGACTTTGGAGTGATCTTTCTGTTGTTTATAAAGCCACTTTGTCAGTGAAAGAAACATTTTTGTTTTAACGCTTCATAATTATTGAATCGAGACAGTTTGAATATGGGCTTTGAACTATCGAAAACTGCAAGTATTATTATATTACAGTCACATCTGTTTAAATATACATGCCATAATTATATAATACAAAATCTATAGGAAGTTACAGTACTATTCATAAATTATGACAGTGTAGCTCATCTCAATTCTCTGTGCAAAACACGACTCACAGTCTAGTTTGCCATTTCTGGAGCTATTTATTTTGTTCAGCTCTATTGGGCCATACTAGACATATACATGATACAGACTCAAGTAATTGTCTCTACTGTGGAACTATTGTTGGAAGGAACTCAAACTTGATGACTTCTAAATTTCCGTCACTATCAACTAGCAATTCCAGCTAAATCCATTCAAGTCAAACTGTTGGCAGTTGGAAGAAGCATCATTTTCATCATGAATATTTAGGTCCAGTGTGGTCTCGAAGTTAGACTGTCTATAATCGTGAGAATTTTTCCCATATTTCATTTTACCTGGAACAGCCTCATTTTCAGCTCTTTCCTTCCTCAGCCACCTTTCTTCCTCTAACTTCAAATCTTCCTTCAAAACAGGCGGTTTCCCCAAGCTTTCTTCTCTTTTAAGTCCAACATCCATGGATGTGAGTTTTGAGTTTCTTCTATCTGCATCATTGCTTGATGGGGAAAGAAAAAACAATTTCTCCTGAAGCCGGTCACTTAATGTGAGATCAGACTTCAGAAGAATAGGCTCTGGAGCACCCTCTTTTGAGCTTAAAAATGGAGTTCCATCACATAATCTCAAATTTAAACCCACGTAATTTGCGTCTTGGTCTCTCTGAGATCCTTCACTAGATGTCAAGCAGCTATCAATTGGACAATTGGTGATTTTATTCACTTGCTCTTGCTGAGGCCATAATGCCTGTAATTCTTTCAGCTCTGAAAATGCAGGCTCTATGTATTGAGTTGATACTTTAGATGCCAGTTCAGAGAGTTGAACCTTGGCATCTTCAAGTCCTGCTGTGCCCAGATTCTGTCTCTCTAGTGTCTCTTGGGCTTTCTCCAGCACTCCTTGGAGATACTTCCCCTGAGCCTCTATACGAAGCTGCAAGTGTCTCTGTACCTGATGAAAGATTTGGAAGCAGTTTTACACTTATCAAAACTGAACTAATCGCAGCTTAGAATACACATATATTGAATGTAAACTTTTGTGAATCAATAAGGTACAGCTTAGGTAAGCAACATGAAAGTAGCCCTTGCAAAAATAATAGTTATATATATGAGCAAGTCGAAATTCAAAGATGTCCTATACCTCGAGCTGCTCATGCAGCCTTCTTTGCACTTCAATTTGCATCTGTAGTGCCTCATTTATTTCTAAGTCCCTGGATTCAAGGCTCATCCTTGTTAGAAACTCGAAGAAAAAAAAAAGAACAATGGACACTTGATGACTGAAAATCTGAACAAGACAAGTGATGCGTTATTACTTGTTAGTCTGAAGTCCGACGGTTAAATTTTTCATATGAACTCCACCTGTTTCGGACATTTGCCCTGGTGCTTCTGCAATTTAAGTCAGTGAGATGAATTCTTTTCCGAATTCTGTGCTTCATATCAGACAATTTCTGCACATCTCTCATGAAACTTGTGGAATACATGGAAAGGATATGATGAAATCATTTCCCTCACCGTTTCTATAGGTGCCATTGTTGGCCTGTCCATGCAGATTTTTACTGAGTCTGTATTTCTGTTTTCCAGAAGGAGTTAGTAACTAAACGTATACAAGGGTCGAAAATGTTAATCTCAGTGGTGAGCAAGTTCAATTGTATAACAGGTTGTAAGGCTCAGATCCCCCCCAACCCAAACACACACACACAACAGAGATTGCTTTTGTTTTCCAATGTAAAGAAGGGGATGGATTCAGAACAAACATCTGCAAGTGAGAAATTTAATCTTGTGCTTCCTGTCCCTTTAGTTAATTAAACTGGTGATGTCACTTACATAACATTACCGTGTGTTTATTGTTAATCTAATCAACTTAATATGGCCAAAGTAGACTGGACCTGGATCCTGGAAAATCTGGGAACTTTCAAGGTAAAACAAGAAAAAGGGTACCTGTAGATGACTCTTTAGGTGGTATAGATTAAGTCCAGGAATCGCCATAAGTTTCAATACTGTTTTTGGGGTAGCTTCTGCAAGTAAAGTGCAGCTAGGATTAGCTTCAAAATATAGACATTTCCTAATTCACAATCATTGCAGAATAGACTCACTATCTGGCCCTCCTAGCTGGTTGACTGCTTCTACAAAACGTTCATGGAGATCTGGTGTCCATTTTAGTCTAGGCTTAGCATCAGTTGAGAGGACAAGCCCTGAGTCTCCAGTTGCACTTCCCCCATGGACGATCATATGCCTTTCAGGAGGGTTGGGCATCCTTAAAGAGTGAATGTTCTTTGCTTGCTGTTGCTGACGATAGTACATTCTCTCTTTTCTGTAAACAAAATCACCTTATTAATCTACCCAGAAGCATAAACAGTTATTAAGCTGATCAAGATCATCTATTACCTGACGAATGATACCTTTCTTGATTCAAAGACCCTGAGAGATGGAATTTGTTGTGCTATATTTTCAAATGCTATTCCTTTTGAGGTTTCAAATATGGGTAGTTTTCCACAACAGCTCTGTCTAATCTTTTTTCTCCTTAACAAGATTTTCACATGCCTTAGTTGTACCCATAGATGTCCTTATAAAGCAAGTGATCACAGGAGGGGCACCATGTGAAGCATAGAATCTTGCACAGAAGCAACTCAAAACTGAACTTCATACGATATTCACGGTTACTTTAAAAATTATTGTGACCTCTCTCCACCTCCCTTTCCAATCCAAGGAAACTCTTCCCAATAAAATTATGTTCTCTGTACTTTCTGAAACACCTCAAATGTTGCGTTTGGTACCTAAATTGACTCATCAACTTGTATCTACTTGAGCCTGCATATATATTTTTGTCCTTCTGGCAAAGGCAGGAACCTCATTCCAAAAGTCCAGAGAAGAATTTTGTGTCTGGGATCACAAATTGAACTTTTGCTTTCCCTCAAGGCATCAAAAACCACACTTTACCTCTCTTTTCCTCTTTGAAGATTCTTGCGCTCTTTAGTCTTTGTCACTCACCATGGGTGGTTAATTTACTAACATCATTGATACTACTAATTTGGCTTGGGTGAATGTAATTCAAACTGAAGGGTTTGCCAAGACTTTATAGACGAGTGCAATAACTGGTTATGCTATAGGGAATTTAGAAAAGAAGATTCTTTATGACTGCGCCACCAAGAAATGGATACTAAGTGACAGATACATTCAAGAAAAAGAATAACGGTGGAGAGATGCTTCTCAAAGTCCTTGGGGATTTTTCAAAGAAAAGAATAGAATAAGAATACAGCCGTTTTTTGGTCTGGTTCAGTAAGTTTGGTGCATATGTAGACCACAACGTATAAAATAAAAGAAAGGATCCAATCCTTTTGGTCCAGCAGGCTTAGCCCGGACCAAGTGACAAAAAGAAAAATGTTCGAATGTGCCGTCTTAACTTGACATTCATGCTTGCTTTTTATTAAAGACATTGGCCTGTGTAATAGACCAATACCAACTGTCCTAGACTTTGTGCTTGGGTTGAAATTTCAGGTTGTCTTCCAAATCTAGAGTGTCATTAAACTCACAAACTGACAGACATAAAAATTCATATTCATGGTATTCTTAACCTTGCAGGTAGATCACACATAATTGGCATGTGTGTAACGTGCTATCATTTGGCCAACTAATTGGAAATGTTGAAAAATAGTTTGGTTTGATTCATTTTCAGGATTTTTGCCCCCAACATGTGTCAGTTGTTGGTGGATTATGCTTATGCTGTTTTTATTTGAAATGTAATCCGTGTATTTAATAACCAAGAATTATTTTTAGAACATAGAATCAATTATGTGATCAACAGCTAGTGCAGAATAAATTCTACCACTTACTATATTATACCCAATATATAGAAAAATAGGTTTCATTGATTAATAAGAACATGCACGATAACTGAGTAAATATACAAGACAGGAGTTCAATCAGCTGTAGCTATTCTAAAATTGCAGGAGCTAAGTTCCAAAAATAAGAGCAAAAAAGAATAAAATGAAATCAATTCTACTGTTAGCTCTTAGGGACATCAATTGATTCTGATTTCTGAGAACTCATGCTGCAACTAAGAAGAAATAGCATAAGCAAGCATTGACGAGCTAAATCAAAAATGCTTTATTGTTTGCCTTCATGTGAGTGAGATTCAACTAGGCGAGAAACCTGATTTGGTACCACATCAGGAATACTGTATTGTACTGACAACCAGTTTAATGGTAATCAACACTACAAATACTTTTATTTAATGCTAGAATTTTGTATCATGATGAGATAAGTTGTTTCATTGCCTCCCTTTATATATTAGATTGAAAGTCAAGGGCATTTAGTACCTAAAAGTGTATTTTACGGTCCTGGGCTCCTACAGAAACAATAGTTTACACCTTACCTTCGTCATATATAATGAATCAGAGGATTCAATCCTGCTGAGGACCCATGGATCTTGCAAGTTATGGTAATCTTACATAAAGTACTTGTCTTTTAATGTTTCCCTAATGCTCTAACTTCTCTTAAATATTGTTGGATCCAGGAAAGTACCAAGCTTTTATAACTGATTTTGTAACTTTCTATATTTATATCAAACCTTGAATATATACACACCTATAGGCATGATAAATGTCAAGAGTCGAAGCTTATTTAAGGAGTTATTGGAAATCATATTCAAAATAATGACAAGACACTCGTTATACTTAATCATGTGGCCACCAAGAAATGACATTGGCTGAAATAGGAAGTAAAGATTGACATTATTGTTATTCCCCATAATGTTAGGAAGGCTGTTAAGTGCGCTTCGTGGTATGGAAAGAGAATCTTAAACTAGAAACCAACAGATCTGATCTCAAATCAGGAACTTAATTGTTCTTCTCTAAGATCCACGAAAAATGGGTTCCCTATGCCCACTAAGCTGTTGCCTTTAGTAACTGTAGCTGGATTGTTTTCAAGACAGTTTAATCAGTTATGACAAAGCATTGTCATTTCACGAGAAATTTGTCCGGTTTAATGCTTGCTTTTTATTGCCTGAGGCCATACCCCTGGATTGATTCAAAGGTCATTTCATTTCACCAACCTGTGTTCACGTTTCTCACCATAAAGATAGTTCAAGATATTAGACTCCACTCTCTTCATGTAATGTCAGTTGGTCTATTTGATTTGATTTCTTTCTAGCTGGGAAAAACGCTCTGTTGCATGCTTGTGAGGGAAATTCTGATAAGAGATTGTTATAGATTACTGAAAGCAACAGCTCTCCACCATGAGATAATTTTCAAGACCTTTATGTTACATACATTGCATACTGTATCAGGAGAATGTGATTCCCTGGGGAAGAGAGAGCTGAAACACACAGGATGAGCTAACTAACCGTGGGTTGCAGAAGAACGAGTTGACATATACGGCAACAGAAGATTCTGTAAGGACCAAAAACTAAATAAAGAAAAGAAAAAAAAAAGAATGTAGCTTTTGAAAAAGGAAGAACGCCCCTACGATAACCTAAATTATTGCAAGATTCGTTTTTTCAAGGGGCAGTTTCACGCGTCAATATCTTGTTCATTACACTTTGCAACTCTCATACGTACACACAAGCACTCTCCATGCTGCTGCCTGACTACCTCTGTATGACAAGAGAAAATTAATTAAATAAATATCTGAAACCAATGGGAAAAATATCTTTTTACCTCCACCAAAATGAAGAGCCAGTGGTTGGGTTTTCACTATGCATGCATCAAACTTTCAGATTGCATTCCCTTCTTGGTTGCCCAACAAAAAAAATGATCACGCTCATTTCTTGTCCTTTTCTTAATTTGTTGGTCATACTTCGATTAAAAACACAAAAGGCTTGAGTGAGATTATTATTGTTAATGTGATCTTTCACCTCAAAGTTATTCTGCATCAGAGGGAGATAAATATCACAAACAGTTTCACATCTTCCCGTACATCATCACTTCATCTTCGCGTGAATCACTTGATATGAAACTTTTTGCATCTGAGATTAGAATAAAAGGGTAGAATTTCATTTTTGACCCTTCATTTTATATGCGTAAAAGCATCATCATCATTATTCGACACCACATTATCACGTGACAGTTTCGGTTAGCAAATTAATGGTAGGAGCTTTATAATAAAAAAGATAAAAAGTCTAACGAGGTTAATTTCATACTTCAAAATATCTGGGAAGTTAAATACAATTGACTCGAGGCTAATAAGGGAAGAATGCTCTGGAAAGAAAATTCTCCACAAAAATATATAAACCCTCCAATTATTTTTCTTTAAAAATATTTATAAACTATACACTTTTTATTCAAGTTTTGACAATCGACCTGCTGCCAAGAGTAAATAAATAAAGACAATATAAAAGCTTTGACATTTGACTGGTCCTAAAAAATCACCTATGAACGTCCTAAATATGAGACGAAATTGTTTCTTCAAGGGGAAGGAAGAAAGTAATCAAATGGCTGCGATATGGAAAGCCAATTCCTTCTTCCAAAACTCATTCTCTGTTCTCTATCCATGACCTGATCATTACTCGGATCGCCTTCATTCCGACGTCCACCATTGGATTCAACTTTAGAATCATCGGACGGCATCTGAAACCTACAGACCGGGCAAGAACTCCGAAGCTTCAACCAGGAGAAAATGCAGTCACTGTGAAACCTATGCCCGCACGGCATCTCCTTCACTTCACTCCCAGTCTCTGCGTCCTCCAAGCATATTATGCACTGCATATTCTCCTCCGTGATCACCGTCGGCATTGCTTCTATTGCCGCCTTCTGCGCCGGCGGGTTCACATTACTCACGTATCTATTAGGCTCGTTATTCTGTGTCAAGTGTTGCAGTAATAATCCGAACCCAGGTCCCTCCAGAAAGTCACCCAGTGACCCCATGGGGTTCTCGATTAATGGAGTTGTACTTCTGGCGCTGTTCATCCGAGAAGAACCTCGCAGGATCAAGGCCTCTTCGTTGAACGGATCAATGACAACCACGTTGAGATTCACGTTGTTATCACCACCGCCATCATTGCTTCCATGATCGTTTTCTGTGTTCGTATTCTGATCAGATTCTGGCAGCGACATCCTATCATGGAGACGACGAAAGACAAGCATGAGAGAAGCGGACGATGTTCTTCTCCTTCTTCTCACCACGAGGTCACCGTGCTGTTCCATCTCTTGCTCGTTGTCTTCCTCCTCCCTTGAACTTGAACCGTTGTTGTTGCTGCTGCTGCTGCTGTTGCTGCTGATGGTTGCTAGAGCAGGTCTGAGAGCACTCATCAAACCCAGTAATATTGGCGCGTAAAGAGAGAACACAGAGGCTGATCTGATCAGATCGCTTCCTTCGTTGTGGTATAATCTCAGGCTCTGATCCATTGTTGCCTCTGTGAATTCTGACCCACATACTGGGCATTTGTTCTCTCCTTCCCTCATTGGGTTCACCATGTTTGAGCACGTGTTGCACCATTGCTCCATGATTACCTATATTCCCCTCTTCAATATTCTTCTTCTGTTTATCCCTTCCTGTGACACATTTTCATTAGCAAGTTTACAAAACATGCACATTTTATTCAAGTTTTCTGAAACCGCTTTTACTCAAATTAAACGCCTGTCTGAAATAAAACATTACCTGTTAAATGAAATAGTGACAGAAGATGAGGTTAATTCGAACCTGTAGGAACGGGAGCTTTATTATTATTATCTGGGCGTGATCAATGCATTTTTTGGATTTGTTCAGTTGAAGTAGGCAGGGAATGGCGGGTAGTGGTTTTAATTTATAATAACCTGTCTTGATTATTCGTTTTTAGTTAGCGATTGTTTTAGGCTAGAGTTTCTACCGATCATTTATTTTTACTCTATTATTTCATTGGGTGGTCAATTTGCAGCCTGCTTCTCTTTTGGCTAAGTTAATTTTACTTTGATGATTTGCAGGCTTAGCTACCACCTGAATATCAATCACAGCTTTATGGATCTCTCTGTATTTGGAGTTATCTAAACTTAATCAAGACATTCCTTGGGTGCGTGGCGCCTGAGATTCTGATTCATCCTTTATTTTTAGTTTTATTTCTAAAATTTAAAAATCTTATTAATTTCATCATTTTCCCTTCAGGGTGCAAGTAATTAGCAAAGTATCTTTCAACGGTTTGTTCTCTTCCACTTTTAATTTTTGAAGAATAAAAAACACAATTATTAGTTCCATTTAGTTACTAGAAAGAAATTGGATGAAATGAATTAAAAAAATCAATACAAAAATAGACTAAGTCACCCTTCTCTTTTATGGTAAGTATAATAAAATTCATTAATATATACTATAAATGTAGAAATCATATATCACATCTTCTAAAAATCTCATGAATCATGACTATCAATTTTATGAATTAAATTATCCCTCTTCAACATCTCTTTTAATTATCTCATTTTTATCTTTTTTTGTAATTAATTCTATTTCAATAACTTCTTATAGTTTTAATGTTTCATGTCCCTTTAATTTATCTTTTGTGCACGTTAATCCATTTATTTTTTGATACATACAAAAGAATGACAAGGTGGCATTAACATGTTAGATATGATGAATTGTGACTGGCGTCATTAATCTTTATGCTAAGGTGGGATTATACTTTAGTAGATTGAAACCTGAAATATAAAACAGAATAGAGTGGACAACACCGTCAATCTATTGAATTATAATTCCACTTAGCATAGATTAACGTCACTAGTCACATCTCAACATATTTAATGTTGTCAGTAACATCTCATTGTCTTTTTGGACATATTAAAAAATGAAGGGTATAGCTGCAAATGATATGAAACAAGGGGACTTACACTAACAAAAAAATATATAAGGACTTATATTAAAACATGTTAAAATTGTAGGGATTAATAATTATATTTTTTTTTTCAAAAATCTTAAAAATTAATAACTTGGAATTTTTTTTCTGGGAGCTAGGGTGTGTGTTTTGGTTGGGAGGGAAGGGAGTTTATCTTCCATTGTTTTTGTAACATCCCAATTTAAATTTTAATAGTTAATTTAGGTTAATAGAAATTTAAAAAATAATATTTAGAGGTAAGAAAATTAGTAAGAGATGATTATTAAATCTAACTTAGGATATAATTCTAAAAAAAATTAAAAAATAATAATTAAAAAAATAAATAAATAAAAATATTATTAAATTATTATTATAATAAAAAAAGGGAAAAGGTATGCAAAAAAAAAAAGAAGAGAAGAAGAAGAACAAAATTGCTTTCGGCCGCCCACAACAATCATTGTATATAATAATAATATAAAAAAAGGGGAGAGAGAAAAGAAGAAATAATAAAAAAATGTGTGGGACCCACTGAATTTTTATAAAAACTCACCCATTCCTTCATTTCTTCATTTCTTCTTTCGTGCGTGAGTTGAGGCAGAGAGAGCATCTATGAGCCAAGTTCACCGGTGCTGGGTTTTAAGGTGAGAGTTTTTAATAGGATATTTAGGTGTGATTTTAAGCTTTTCAAGACTAAGTAAGTGTTCTAAAATTTTTTCTTAGTCATCATTCTTCTTTGGTTTTGAGTTTGTAGTGGTAGAAAATTTAAGATCTGGAAGAGGGATGAATTTATGTTGAATAAATATGATTTTTAAGGTTGTCAGTAGTATAATAAATGTTCTAGAGTATAAATTTATTGATGATCTTTGAATCTGTGGCTTATGGATCAAATTTTAAATTAGATCTGAAAATATATGTTGATTTATTGAGGTTTAGATGATTATTTGGGATGAGAAATGAATTATTATGGCTATAGGATTATGATTCTAAGCTAGAGACTCAATTTTAATTTTTGGGTATTTTATGTACGAATTTATGAAATAAAAAAAAATTGATAATAGAAATTAGTTTAGAAGTTGATTTTTAGATTATTAATGTTATTGATAATTAAAAGAGGAGTTAAAAATTTTACTTAATAGTATTAACTATAGATTTGTATTAAGATTGAGATTATGAATTATGTTATATTTTTAATTCTATTATTAGAATTATTTTATTAGTTTCAAAAATTGAAACTAATATTTACAAATAATATGTTATTTGTAGATTGTATTACTGGTGAAGATTGTGGTGAGAGAGAAATTTTAAGGAATAATTTATTAAAAAAGCCACAAGGTAACCATGCTTTTAATTTGTAATTAGTGTTATTTCATGTTAATTGAGTGATTATTGAGAAAATTATGAATTTTATAATATTGTATAATTGTGCAATATTATGATGAATTTGTTTAATTATTGTGGGAGGTATTGGGAGACTTGCTATTATTGTTGTATTTATGTGCCACGTGGTACGCTCCTATTGAAGCTCAATAGGTGGCTTGTAAGGGCTCGGGCTAATCTACCTTTGGCCGGGTAATTTAGCACCGAGTGAGGGTACGGCTCGAGGTTAATGGAGGGATATAAGGATGGTTGTTTGTGTATATTGTAATATTTCTTATATTTTGTTGGAATTATATTATTTTTGGTTTCCACTTAATAAGCACACACTTAACTATTTGTACACACTATCATAAATTGGTACTGGTTACTGAAACTTTTGAGTCTCATTATGTGGTTAACAATTTTCAGGAGAAGAGCCACGAGTGACACGTGGAGGAGTCCCAGAGGCTTAGTGGCATAGATCCACTGTCTCTTTTGGTATTTGATTTATGATTTATAATATGTTATATTGCCAATATTAGGGCTTTTTGTTTATTGACAATTATATGAATATATAAATGTAATCATGCCTTTCAAACTATTTCTATTTTTGGTAGACTTTAGATGACTGTAATTTTAATATTTAGTTTACTTTGGATTGGTTAAAATGACATGATTATGAGGCCAAATAACTGGCTTGTGTTGAAAATTGACTAAATTGTTTATTTTTCTTATTGGGAGTATAAGGATGGACAAATGTGATTCAGCCTAATGGCATGTGGGAGGTAAAAATTTATCTGAAATGTTATATTGTGTGAGTTGAAGCCAATTATAAAATATTTTATATTGAAATTATTGATATAAAAATGTGTTGGGTGGCTATAACTCAACTATGATTGAGTTAAATTATTAAAAAAAAAAATTTGGTGTGTTACACGTTGCAACAAAATAGTAATTAAATTATTCAATATTTCTCCCACGTTCTATTTTATTGATGTTTTTGGAGCAAAATCTTGTTAAATATCACAAGTTTTTTAAAAAAATTTAAAAAATACATCTAATAATATATATATATATTTTTCCATTTCACCCTTATCCAATCTAACAATTTAATTAATTAATTTATTACTATTAAATATTTTTACCTGTTCCAATGCAATGGATCGTGGGACAAATCTGCTAAAGTGTGTGTATTTATATTTATCATATTTTTACATATTTATTATATTTTTTAATCCACATGCAAAACTTTAAAAGCTAATATAATGGAACAGAGGCAAAAAAATGAAATAAAAAAGAAACACCGAAATATAAGGTACTTTTTAAGGAATTAAAGTATTTTTAAATCTTCTGAGGTGTAATCATTATTTTTTTTCAAAAGTGTCCTTATTGATAATAATTTTATATTTATTTTAGGGTATTTAATAGGGGTAAATATAAAAAAACAGGGTTAGTTTGAAAGTAGGTAACTATTTTATTGGAGGGTAAAATTTTATTAAAAATGCCTTATATTTTTAAATGAAGGGAGTAAATATTATTAAATAATTTCATCCTAATTTTTAATATTAATTAGTAATAATATTAAATATATTAATTTCATATATTAACATAAAATATAAAACTTCATGATAAAGTGTATTATTAACATTCCATCCATCCAGTATATGTATAAATGCATGGCAAAATTATGTAGACAAGTAAACGGCTGACGAGCCGAAAAACATAAAGTAAGCCGTCGTTTTGTTGCCGCGTCCTTTCCTGATCTGATTGCTCTCCCCCTAAAAAAGGTTGAAGTTCAGGGGAAGGGAAACCCTAGAAATCTACGACCGCGATTGATCGTCGAGCATTTCGCGATTGGATGATTAGATTAGGGGCAACATTTTCGTTGGATTGACTTGGCAGAATGGGCGCAAGCAGAAAGCTTCAGGGCGAGATAGATCGCGTTCTCAAGAAGGTCCAAGAAGGCGTCGAGGTCTTCGATAGTATCTGGAACAAGGTTCCTAATCTCCATCCTTCTTTCTAGTCCAGTTTGCTTCTTTTTGGATTTGGATCGTACCTTAGCGTTGTCCAATTGATTGACTTGACAAATGGTTCATTTTAATTTTGTCTGTCCCTCTAGGTTTACGATACGGACAATGCTAACCAGAAGGAGAAATTTGAGGCAGACCTAAAGAAGGAAATTAAGAAGCTCCAGAGGTACAGAGACCAAATTAAGACTTGGATACAGTCTAGCGAGATCAAGGATAAGAAGGTCTATTCAAGTGCCTTTTGTGTCTTCGAGTTTTTTCCGTATCGCAAGCTCATGCCGTCTCTTAGCATTATGCATGTTGAATTTCCTTGGGGCTATTCTAATAATAATCTCATATCTGTTTCCAGCGAAAAAACGGGAATTCGTAGATTTCTGCAATGCTTTTATTTTTGTTTTTAAGTTTAATGATTCCTAGTAAATTATAGTTGATGGGACATTGTAGCGCTTAGAAGCAAGTTAGTACTCTGTGCTACTTGCCCCATCATTTAGTTGGTCTACTATATCTATTGTCTGCAGAAGTTGACCTTTGAAATGAGAATATATTTTTCTATATATATAATAGAAGACCTATAGGAAGCTACATTACTCATAAGCCATCAAGAATGCCTCTTATTTCAAACTCTGCTAAGCGTGGGACTGCATTCTAGTTATGCAAAGATATCTTTCA